CTGCTCAAAACTGCTTCCACTCCTGGGCGCCTGGGTGGCTCAGATGGTTAAGCGTCTGCCTTCGGCTCAGGTCATGATCCCAGGGTCCTGGGATCGAGTCCCGCATCGGGCTCCCTGCTCCTTGGGAGCCTGCTTCTCCCTCTGCTTCTCTCTCTCTCTCTCTCCTCCTCTGTCTCTCATGAATAAATAAATAAAATTTTAAAAAAAAAAAAAACTGCTTCCACTCCTGAGCTCCCTTTGGAAGAGTGGGTGCTCCCAATGCCTGGAGGCAACATCGCGGGGGTAACAGGGCTGTTGAAGAAGAGAAGCAAGGGATGGGCCAGGATGGTGGGTCATTGGACTCGCCAGACATACTTAAAAAATTGGAATATTCAGCCTTAAAAAGGAAGGACATTCTAACACCTGTTACCACATGGATGAACCTTGAGGACATTGTCCTGAGTGAAATAAGCCAGTCACAAAAGGACAAATACTGTGTGATTCCCCTTATAGGAGGTACCAGAGTGTCAAAGTCATAGAGACAGAAAGCAGAATGGTGGTACCAGGGGCCGGGGGAGGGGACCGTACGGAGTTAGTGTTGAATGGGGACAGAGTTTCAGTTTGGCAAGATGACAAGAGTTCCAGAGACCGATGGTGGTGATGGTTGCACAGCAGAATGTGCTCCATGCCGTTGAACTGTGCACTTAAAAATAGTTAAGATGGGGCACCTGAGTGGCTCAGATGGTTAAGCGTCTGCCTTCGGCTCAGGTCGTGATCCCAGGGTCCTGGGATAGAGTCCCGCATCGGGCTCCCTGCTAGGGGGGGAGCCTGCTTCTCCCTCTGCCTCTCTCTCTCTCTCTCTCTGTCTCTCATGAATAAATAGATGAAATCTTTTTTAAAAAAAATAGTTAAGATGGTAAATTTTATATGTATTTTACCATAATAGAAAAATTGGTTAAAAAATTGTCCGACCTCGTTTGAGGAGACAATCTGAATCTAAGATGATGGCCATTCATATAATATGTGAAGCCAAGTCGGCTCAGGTCATGATTGCAGGGTCCTGGGATCGAGCCCCCACATTGGGCTCCTTGCTCAGCAGGGAGTCTGCTTCTTCCTCTCCCACTCCCCCTGCTTATGCATGCTCTCTCTCTCCCTGTCAAGAAAATAAATAAAATCTTAAAAAAGATAAAATAAAATGTGAAGCCAGACAAGACCCTTTCATCTGTAGTTTGTGGATACAGATGTGCACAGTAAATGTGCATAACCGTGCATAGAAGTGACTTCTGGATGGTGGTTATGACCTGGGAGAGAGAAGGAGGAAGAGATGGGGAGGGGATGTGAGGTGTTCATTATATCTCTTCAATGTATTTCTTTTCTTTTTCAAAAAAGAGAGATCTGTGGCAACCATGACAGAGCATTTACTTCTGTTCCATCGACCAGTGGCTGCGTGCACCTCTGTTACATCAGCTCATGTATATTAAAATATTTCCTAGTTGAAAAGAGAAAATAAAGTAGAATAACCAAACAAAGGGAGAAGCAGATGGATCCTGTCTGACATCCTTATAACCTCGCCTGACCTCCAAACTCTCCTGTTTTCAGATTGCTACCTTCTTTTCTTCTGTGTTTTCACTGTGCAAAAGATGTCTCTCTCCTGCTTTGTGTGACAAGTAAAAAAAAAAGCTCTAGGATTTCATGCCCCACCCAGATATTCTGTCTCTCTGATGTAGCACAGTTGACTTAACAAAAGTGAATGATATTGTTGGTCAACCACCAAGTGATGGACATGTCCCTTAAACTTTAACCTTGGCTGTTTTCCAATCTCTCCCAACCTTCTTCCTGGGGAACAACACTAAATTGTTTCTATAGGGCCAGGGTATGGTGTCTTGGGTTCGGGGGCATGTTCTCAGCCACACTTGTATTTCCATGACACACCCAGTGCTTTTTACATATATGCACACCTCACAGCGTTTAACGAGTGAACAACACTGACATGAGCAAACATGACACATCTCACTAGGTAGGCCTACTAACCTTATTCTGGTCTTCAAAGAAGTCCCTCTCAGCCCAGACTACCCAGCTGTGATTCCCCAAGAGGATTTGTCTGATGACAGCAATGAGGCTAAGTTGTCAATTCTATGAAAACAATCAGTAAAACAGACTCAAGGCCAATCAATGAGTTTAGGCTCACCTGAGATTTCTGCTTTTCTCGGTTCTTCATCTGTGAACACCTTGTTTATTCTTGCCCAAGCACTGGGAGTAGCTGTCACCCTTCTTTGCCACCCACCTTGTAAGGGGAGATATGGACCCTTTGCCTCTGAGTCCCCCCAAGCCTGGTTGGGAAAGACCATGGAGAGTCGTTGTTGGCTGCTTCTCATGATGGGTTTGTTAGAATTCTTGACACTCTGGAAACTGCCTTGTCTGTGCAATAAATAGGCAGTAGATATGGACTGGTTCTCTAACAACTGACCCCAAATGGGCATCTTGCTAATACTAGAAAAGAGCAAAGCTTGAGTCCTTACTTCTAGGAGGAATGGCGTGGTGCCTGGAACATTCTAGACACCTGGTAAAGGTTACTGAATGGTTAACTAAGGATGCATGGTGTCCAAACTAAAAATGATTGGTTTTAATCATTTAAAACCAATGATTTTGGTTTTGGCATTCATTCGATCCTGGCTTTCTCCTGGACATGGTCACTGAGATTTCACCGTTGTTTCCCCAACTCATTGGCAAGGGCTCAGACTCTATCTTGTTTCCTTAAATACTCACAGGACCTGACACAGTGCTTTGCACATGGCAGATCTGAACGGTTAATCTTCCTATTGTGTTTACTAGGTGTCGAGTATTATTCTGAGAACGTCACACATCCTAATGCACTTAGTCCTCACAATCCTTGAAATAGGGAAGATTATTCTCTCATTTTACAGATGAGAAATCTGAGGCACAGAGAGACAAGCGACTCACCCAAGGTCAAGGCGAGGAGCTAGGGTTTCTAGTCAGACACTCTGGTTCCAGAATCCATGCCCTAAATCATAAACTGCATTGATATCTACAAAGTACTAAAAAATAAAAAGGTCTATTTGATAGTGTATGTGTATATATATATATATATATATATATCTTCATATGATATTCTTTCTCTCTAGACACACATATATACACACACACACATTCATCTGAGGGTTTTCTACTTGCTAACCACTGTTTCAAATGTTGGGAGAGGTACAGAGAACAGTCCTTGCCATAGAGAAGTAATTTAAAATCTTGAAGAGGGGAACAGATATATAGATTATTTCAGGACTAAGGAATCAAAATCCACCTAGGTCTGTCTTAGAGCAAAACTAGATGAAAATGAGACACCGTGGCTCTCTTTCTTGATCTCAGGGGTGGTTGGTTACAAGGCTACATACACTGTCTGAAAATTCACTAAGCTGTACACTTAGGGTTTGTGTGTTCTTAGGGTTATGTATGTTATATTGTAATAAAATCAACATTTAAAACATTTAAAAGGAAGAAAAGTGCCTTGGGAGCTCAGAAGATGTAGCAAAGAAATTCATTTTTTCTTTGGCACCTTCAGCCACATTCTACATAGATACGTTTGGTTTTGCTTTGCTGTTTAAAAGAGAACCGAGTGTCTCTGTGAACATTTCTGGCATGTTTCCTTCTCTCTAGGATCAGACTCTGATTTGATATTGTGACAGTGACACAGGATCTACCTACATGGATACACAAGGGTGACAAACCATAGAAAATAACCCATATACTATGGAGGGCAGAAGCCACTGGGTACAGACCCCCCTGCTCCAGGTGAAGAAATGGCCCAGGGGAATCTCAGCACGCCTTTCTGAGTTGGGCTTATTCTGACAAAATTCCATTTTACAGCTCTTCAAATATGCTTGGTTCAACAAAACATAAAATCCCTTGGGACCATCATTTGTTAGACGGGTACTTGACTAGAGCCCCAAACATGAAGAAGTTAGCTGATTTCCCCTTATTCTGTGAGCGTATAAATACAGTTTAGCATAAGTAGATTGAGTGATTGTATTTGAAACATTCAGGGGGCTTGTGTTTTTTTCCCCCAGAAATAATGTGTTACTAAACATACACTTTTTTAAAAAATGAATCTAAGTTAAGACATATTTGGGGTTATTATAACTTAGCAGTTTATTTTTTTTCCAAAAAACCCAAATTATGTGTCTAACAACCCGTGGCCTCAATAATATGTTAGTTTAAAATACAAGATAAACATATAATATTGTAACTGAACACATTAGGAAACATGCAGAACCGCACTGCTTCAAACAAAACTCGCACATTTAGCAATGGTTATTTTTAGAAGCAAAGTGCCTGGCAATTTAAGCACAACAATTCCAACATTTGTTCTACTTAATTGTGATAAGATGTCATTCCATTCGACTGTTCTCATTTTGTTTTCTCATTTATCTTTCCAAGTGGATTCTACTATAGGCAGAAATTAGGAAATTGCAAAGAAAATATATATTTAAAGTAACACAAAACCAATTCCTTAAATTTAAATTTGGGCTTTCTTAATTAAAATAACAGAGAAAGTATGGGATAGTCACACATACTATCAATTTGTGTGTGTTCATTAAGGGAAAATTTTCTGGACTCTTCTGTCAACAAACAAATGTGGGCAACACATTTCACACCCTTTGTAGTTAGAACCTTGCTTTCCCCTTTCTTCAACTTCTCTTACCGTTAGTGCTTACACGTTCCCTCTTCTTTGGTTACCCTTATTAAGCCCACTGTCGTGAAAGCTTGAGATGCTCATTTATACTAGAGTGTCAATGGTTGATATCTTCTGTAAGCGTAATCTCACTTAAAGACACTGACATTTTACCAGGAATCATTAGCTGAAGCCAAAGCTGTTTAATAAAGGGTAAGATGGTAGGTAGAGAGTTTACCTGGACCACAGCCTTCTGAAGCCCACCCCAGAGATGTTCATTGTGGACATAAGTGTCTGGCTTGCCTGCCTATGCAGATTTGATAGCCACAAGCACTGGCTAGCACATGGACACTTTGCCTGGGTCACTTGGTGGCAGGTGCTCTGACACACTCACGAGGGCATGTCCGTCAGGGCTGGGAGCAGCTTTTGTTTCCCAAACACTTTCCAAAGCCTTGGGTTCCGGGAAGTTTTGTTGAGAGTGCCGACTGCCCTTCTGTATCCTCTGCTTCTCTATGAACTCCAAGCGGGCTGCTGTGTATCTGTTCATGGCCATGACCGACACAGCCATGCAGAGGGCAAAGGAACCCCACGCGAGGCTGTCAACAAAAGGCACAGTTAGGAAGGAGCAGGAAAGAGGCTGTGGTTCCAGGGTTTCCTGCTGGTGGTCAGTCTGGTGAAAAACCAGCTCCTCTTTCCACCCAGTTTGGACCTGGACTTTGGATCACAAGTTTCAGAGACCAGCCAATAGTGTCGTTGTAGCCCAATGGTTAAGAGAACGGACTTTGGGGTCATTGTGCTAAGTTTGCACTGTGGGTTTGCACCTATCTCTTATGAGCTATGCACCCCTGAGCTGGTGACTTCATCTCTCTGGATCAGGTTCATCATCTGCAAAACTTGACTAATAGTAACAGCACACACAGGGTGGTTGTGAGGAATTCAATGAACTAATGCTGGGAAGTACTCAGCATAGTATCTGCTAACATACCAGTGTTGCTTTTAGTTGTGGTGGTGGTTGGCTCTAACCCAGGGCACGACATTGGTGTTGTTATTTTCTGTCTCTACCCTCTGGAAGCCTGTTGCATTCTGATATGATGATCTATACTTTTCACCTTCTACAGAACCCAGTGGAATGGTTGCTGAGAAAGAACCTCTGCCAGCTGGCATTTGTGTGTTTTCAGGGGGTGAAATTCCCAGGTAAAATAGAAGTCCCCTTATCCAATTACCTACAAAGAAACCTACCCATAACTAATTTCTAAACCCACTCTAGAGTTTCCAATCATCCTTAAATATAACTTGACATCAAAGATACCAACATCTAGGGGAAAGGTCCAACAGTAAACAGAAAAAAAGGGGGGGGGATCTAAAGAAAAGAGATAGCACAAGGAACAGAAGAAAACAGCAACCAGAAGAAAACCCTTTGATCACTATCTACAGAGAGATATGAAAGATGCTGCACGAACAAGGCAAGATTGGGATATATGAAAAAGGAACAACTAGAAAACAAGAAAGACCTTCTGGAAATTCAAGTAAGATCCAATAATAATTCAATAGGAAAGTTAGATGACAAAGAGAGGAACATTTTCAGAAAAGATTACAAAAAGAAGGAGCTAGAAAATGTGAGGGATACGATGATTAATCCAAGAGTCTCGATATTGAACTAACAAGAAGTTTCTAAAGAGAACAGGAAGCTAAGGAATGGAAATAATCAATGAAATAATAACAGAAAAATCCCCAGAATTCTAGGACATGAATATTCAGATTGAAGGACCCATCAAACACAGGAAAGAAGAATGAAAGTGAATGAAAGATTTCCCCTCCAAGGTGCATTATCCTGACATTTCTTAACACCAGTAATAAAGAGTAGAAAACACCAGCTTACCTATAACAGAACATGAATCAGAAGAGTATGGAAATCTTCCCAGAATCAGTAAGTTCTAGAAGGAAATGGAACCACACCTTCACATTTTTCAGGGAAAATGATTTTCAACAAAGGATTCTACACTCTGCCAAACTATCAATCAAATATGGAGCATTGAATAAGTACTTTTCCAAATATGCCAGAAATAAAATAATTTCTCCCTCATTGGGGGATGTGCCCCCACAAAATGTGAATGCAAACCAAGTAAGATAATGATATGGGACCTAGGAAACAGCTCTCCAGTACAAAAGAGTGGCAAAGGGAAGTGTCATGTGGCACGCCTCAGAATAGCCATCCCGAGTGGAGAGAAAGATGGGGGGCTGTGGGATAGGGAGAAACAGAAGTGAGAGATTGCTATGTTTATGCTATTTGATTTTTTTTTTAAAGATTTTATATTTAAGCAATCTCTGCACCCAATGTGGGGCTCAAACTCACGACCCCAAGATCAAGAGTGGCGTGCTCTACAGACTGAGCCATCCAGGTGCCCCTGTTTAATACTATTTGATTTTTAAAAACTATTTGCATCTATTTCTTTGATTAAGAGTTAAGTAATTACAAGTAATTGGAAATGAAACAAAATGATATTGGAAACAAGTAGACCATTCTACAGATTCCTTTGATGTTTGGGATCTACTTCAACCCACAGCATCAAGTGGCCATAGTTGTTGGCCCACCTGACATTGATCTGAGCTCTAGTGCAGCTGGGTTCTCCACTGTGTGCAGCACCGGTGACGTCACCTCAGAAACAATGACATCTGGAAGGAGGCAACTAAAGTGACACACAGGTCAAGGGAATGCTGTGATGCTACAAAGAAATATTTGTAAAAAAAAATAATAATAACTTCTTCAGGCTGGGGCACACACCGAGAAGAGTACAAAATCTAATAAATCATGGGGGTAACCGTATCACGGACATGTTCACCAAACCCTAGAATGGCAAGATGAGGGAGTAAACCTAGAATGTGTTATTTGTTTTACAAAGAGAAAAGTAGCATAAGAGATTGTTATACAGGATGAAAATGTACGTGTGTGTGTGTGTGTGTGTGTGTGTGTGTGTGTGTGTGTATAAAACTGCAGCAGTGCTTTGGATATCCATATCAAAAAGAACCGCTGTGATCTTATATGGCATGGCTGAGTCTTTCCATTAAGAGACAGAATTTTATGTCCTGGCTTTGTCCATTAGAAACTGGGGCTGGGTCTCCCAACACTGAAGTATTTACTAAGCATTATTACTCGGGACTTTCCCCCCAAGCTGTGTTTAAGAATGGAATAACATCAGTGTCTCTGTGGCTTGAGGACTTAACTCTGGGTCAAAGATTTTACCAAACCTAATCTCTTTAAATGCCTATGAATGCATGAGACAAGTATCATCCCTTCACAGAGGAGAGAGCGGGGCTACAGAATGGTTAAGAAATTCATCCAAAGTCAGAGGGCGGAATGATGGCCAAGGTCCGTAGTCCTACAAAATCTGTGTGCATCCCTGACAGCCCGTCAGGACTCGAGCACCGCGGCCAGAACTCACCAGTAGGACCAGCCATAGTCCCACGTCTGAGGCTTCCAATCTTCTGGTCCAAGGTTCACAGTGATTTGAAAAATGGTTGTGTACATCATGTGGGCCACCATGCTGAGAAGCCCTGCATAAGGAGAGCTCTGTGAGCCAGAGTTAAGAATGGAGTTTCTCTACCTTATGTGAGTTGGATGAAAGAAAGCCAGAAGCATCCTGCTTGAGTCCTTTCAAGCCTTCATGTTTCACATACGCACTAATTCCTTATTTTCATGAATTCGCACAGTGGCCAGGTCATTCCTCCCATGACCAACTCTCCCCAGTCTATAATACCCCTGTCTCCCTATGCTCAGAGGCTCCGATGTTCCATTCTCTCTTTCCCAGCACAGATGAGGGGTCCTTGAGCTACATTTGACCTAACGCCACATTCTACAGTCTTCTATCATGTTATTCTTTTTCATGTGGATGATTTGCTAAGGCTTCAACACTGGGATACTTTAGATAAAAATCTGAGTGTGTTCTGGCCACACTAGACTCACGTGGCAGTAATCAGGAGGAACAGAAATCAGCTGCCAATGGGATTTTCTTTCCTTTGTAAGTGTCTTGGTTTTTTTGCCTGCAGACCCCCGAAGACTTTTTTCCCATAGGTTTGGAGGATATGTTGAGGATTTGAGTGCACTCTGTCTATTTTTCCAGGTACTTGGACGGAGCTTTCTATATATAGAGTTTGGTCTTCTGTTCAAGAAAGCTTTCTTGAATTTTACTTTTAAACCCTAGTTTCATTGTTTTGTCTTTCTTTTTGCAGGGACTCTAATTACACATAATGGTGTTTTAATTTAATAAATGTATGGCAAATGGTGACCAGTTAGGGATTGGCTTCAGGGGCCCAAATAGAAATAGTTTTAATTGGTGGGGGCAATTATATGTTAATAGGGCTGGCTAAAGTCCTTGTGATGTAAATCCTCAAACATTTTACCTGACATTGTGTTCGCAGTCAAAACTGATCAGACATCCAGAAAGAAGCCTACTGTCATGATCCTGGGGGGCCCTCGGAGATGCCAGAACCTGGGGAAGTCTCCAAGCGTCCATGGCCAGGCTCTTTGCTATGAAGATCCATAAATTTGATTTTATCATCCTATTCACTGATGATAAGGCTTGGGAAAGACGCCTGACACTTATCAAGCACAGAAGTAAGCTCCCAGTTGGGCTGATGCACTATTAACAGAGCTTCAATATCGGACAGAGAATCGAAGGAAGTCATTTGTTTGGGGGTTCTTCTCTTGATGGAAAGGCCAACTCAGGAGACCAAATGAAGTTGCTCTAAAAGTTGCTTGGAGGACACAGAAACCCCCCCCCCAAAAGGGTGTTCTTCATTCTTATATGTACACCAAACTTGGATGATGATTTTTAACAAGTGACCATTTCTTGCATTCTTACTACATACGAGGTGCATTCTTACCTAGTCATCACCATAGTCTTTTGAGAGAGCTGGCTCAGAGAGGTTGAGTGACTTGCCTGGGGTCACACAGCCATTAGGTAGCAGGGATTTGAATCCAGGCAGAATTTTTCATGCATAACCACCCTACTAAATTAGGCAATTTCTGTTCTCAGAGCCAGTGTATCTCCTTCCCAGAGTTGTGATAAAGACACAGTAAGACATTTTATTCTCCAAGCCCCATGCCTACCCCGTTTCTTTCTATCAGTCACCCAAAGCATCATTGCTTTCCCTCCAATGGGGTTAACTCAGTGACTTTTTCGGTAGACCAGCCAGCTGTCTTGATGAACTGGCCATCGACAGAAAAGAGCCAGCCTGCACTTTGGCTGAAGCTCTGTCCCTCCGACTGGGGCAGGGTGTGGGGAATCAGCCTGTCTGAATACTGCTGTGGGCAAGTACCTGCGAGCACCATGAGGATGGCCACAGATGCGTCCACCCTGAGCAAGTGGAACCCAGAGCCGTGATAACTCACTCTGGAGCCCAGGAGGACGGCACTTGTCAACAACAGAAGGATATTCAGGATTTCGGCCCCAATGGACAACCACAGAACACCTGCAAAAATGTGAGAATGTCAGAGATGCTGAGCATTTGGAATTCAGAAGTACCGCCATGTCTAGCCCTTTGACTTAGTTCACTTCTAAAACAAAGGAAATAAATAGAAAATTAAAAATAAAAACCAAACACCAAGGGGTAAAAAAAAAAAAAAACCCACAGCTACGTCTGTTGAATCTGGAAAGTTGGCAGTCACAGAGGGCTCCTTGGGGTTGAGAGAGGATTGTGTAAATATTGTCCTTTGCTGGGAGGGGAAAGAAATAGAATAAGAGTCTGATGCGAAGACACAGAGATGCTGGGGGGCTTTATTCTCTAGCTCCAGGGGCGCCTGGGTGGCTCAGTTGGTTAAGCGACTGCCTTCGGCTCAGGTCATGATCCCAGGGTCCTGGGATCAAGCCCCGCATCGGGCTCCCTGCTCAGCGGGAAGCCTGCTTCTCCCTCTCCCACTCCCCCTGCTTGTGTTCCCTCTCTCTCTGTCTCTCTCTCTCTCTGTCAATTAAATAAATAAAATCTTTAAAAGAAAAATTTATTCTCTAGCTCCAAAGCTAATGAGTTGTTTAGATTTCACCAGAAGACTTTATCTTTGTCTTTTTTAAAAAAAGATACACACGCTTAAACAAGAGGACAGAGATGTCTGAGAGTTTAAGAGCCCTTGGTTAGAGATCCCAAAACCTTGTTCGTTTCGATGTGAGCCAATTATTTGCCCTCTGGAGGGGATCCCACCTGCAGCTCCAAGGAACTGTGTTGGGGGTGGGTGCAAGTGGGTCAGGAGGAGAGGGAGGGAAGCTAATGTTTCTGGAAGTCCTCCAGTAGAGCAAGCTAGGTGCTGGGGACCCCAGCAGTGGAGGAAACAGGCGTGATTCCTGCCTTCACAAAACCTTTATTCCAGGTGGGGAAACAGATACGGAGAAAGTCATCACGGATTTGATGAGTGTTATGTGGACAAAGTGCTGTAGGTAGTGGTGGCTGGAGCTCATCTCTTCTCAGCCCTGCATCTACCTTGTACTGGTAGTTTGCAGTGAGCCATGGCGGGAGTATTTATACTCTGGGAAACAGCTAACACTACGCATCGGGGCTTCCCGCCGGCAAAATGGGTGCTTTGACATTTCCCAGCACCACGGACTATAGGGCACGTGGAGAGAGCCAGCAGTTCTAACTTTTGGATTTGACTTCGTGGTAAAACCATAAATAACTCTCTCATCTTTTCCTGCGTCCCAACAAAAACAATAAAGGTTATCCAAATTGTGGACAGAAAAAATTATCCAAATTGTGGCTGGTGGACAGAACATGAGTAAGGTATTTACCTTGTTCTTCAGCTGGTATTATACTCTGGAAACTCCTACACTTCTCACCTAGAACACAAGGAGAATATATAGTCATAAGTAGGAGTAGCTGTGACAAGTAGCGACAGACTGTGTTACTATCTATCCCGGGTCATGTTGAACAAGGATTGGGGAACATGGCAGATTGCTTTATTGTTCATAGACGTGTAGTGCCCCCCAGCCACCCCACGGGAGCATGATTCAATCCCATCCCGTGAGTCCAGGCTTGGCCATATGACTTTCTTTGGCCACTGCATAGGGAGCTGCTGTGAGATGGGTCACTTCTGGTCAGAAGCTTTAAGAGCCAATGGACTGCCCACTGGTTCTTGTTTCCCTGCCTCTGTGATCACAGAAGCACACGTCTGGATGGAATCTCTATCAGCCTGGGTCCCTGAATTGCTGTGGGGAGGACTCACTCCTTGCCGACCTGAAAAATCCACACAGAATGAACTAGAAATGAATTTGTTGACTTAAACCACTGGGATTTGGGGGTTGTTTGTTACTGCAGCATAATCTAGCGCATCTGGACTGATACTGCAAGCCTGAGACCAGGGGTTCTCAACTTCCCCAACAGCATCCATTATGGTGTGAGCCTCAGATAGTTTGTTTCCAGTTAGAGGGAAAGTAACAAAGTTGGTATTGATTTTTTAAAAAATGAATTAGAGCAGGGGCGCCTGGGTGGCTCAGTCGGTTAAGCGTCCAACTCTTGATTTCAGCTCAGGTCATGATCTCAGCGTCTTCCTGGGCTGCCAGGAACTAAAACAGGGCAAGGCAGGGCACAGATCATTGACTCTTCAAAGGAATGGTTCTCTTGTCCCTAAAACAGGTTCAGTAGTCCCTGCAGTAGCCTCTCTTTGAAGATTTAATGACATAGTACGCACTGAAATCCCACTGAAATAAATGAGTTCCGCTGGGCCCTATTTGCATGTGACTAGCACACATCATTATTAATTATAATAGACTCTAAGTACCCTGAGGGCCAGGATCACAGCACCTGCCTTTGCTGGAAGTTTTCAGGGACAGAAATAAGCTCAGGGGAGCATCTTTCGACTGTGGAAATTACTTCTCTTTCGGAGGAGAGAAAATCCCAGATAAGTCCCCTACTCAAGAGCCTACTGTGGCTCCCTATTCCTCCAGCACTGAGTCAGAATTCCTCTTCTTTTATGGCCAGCCTCCTCTACCTGTCCTCCCAACACTGAACTCTTCCCTTGGCTTCCCTTTCCACCCTGGTCAGGCTCACGCGGGAAGGATCCTATGCATGAGCAGGTGCACACTCATGGCAGTGCTTGTCTAAAGACCATAATCCTTGAGATTTGCTGTGCTTGTCCTCATGAAACTCCAAGTGCCCTGGGGCCTCATTGCTTTGCACGTCTGCAGTGCACTCTGCTGGGCTATAGGAGAAAGAGGAACAAAGCCTGGGTTTATGATACAGCCATTTGCTTGAGCCGCCCTGTTGGGATACTTTCTCACCTGTCACGTAACCATCCACAACAAACATTTTACACAGCTGGGGGTGAGGGCGACAGCCTTGGGGACCCATCTGCCGATCTAAAGCCACAGGGGCCTCTTCGGCTTTTTAATTAAGTCAACTTTGGATTGAGGCGATGGGCCCATTATCCTCGCAGATTCTGTGATTTTGGGCAGTGGCTGTGATGTTATGGTCACAGTCCCCCAAATTTGTCCACGTCCCCCTGGTTCTACCAAGGAGGCCCCCACAGCATGGGGGGACATCTCTACATTCACACGCTGCTCTCAGAGAGATTTCATACTCTAAACCTTGCTCTCTCATACAAGTCCTCCAATGAGAAAGTTTGCAAGTATTTGGTGAACTGCCTGACACTTTTTTTTTGGAGTGTTTCATTATCCATAAAGGCAAGTACCCATAGCCTTTGACAGATTTGGAGGCCAGGCTCAGACAGGTTGGTAGAGTCAGAATCAGAAACTGGACTCTCCCACCTGAGACCCTGTATCCTTTTGCATAGCACCACCTGCTGTCTTTCTACATAATTCGTGGGGGAGTAATCGTCTATGTTGCCTTCCCAAGAGGCCTGCTCTTTGTCACAGGAATAAAGAGGGGGCCAGGTACAGAACCAGGGGCGGGGCAAAGAGAAAGTGGAGCCAGCCAAGGAGATTAGGAGAATTCACCAAAGCTCTGAAGTCTGAGGTCAGCCTGGGCAAAGAGTCAGGCCATAGTGAGCCCCTGATTAATTTGAATCCTCAGAAATGGTGTTCCTTTTGAATGAGGCCAGCAGGATTAAAAGGAAAAATCTTCATAAATCCCACGAAGCCAGAGAGGCGGGTGTTACATAGCTCGGCGGCAAGGGCTTCACCAGCCAAGCGGGGCAACAAGCAAGCTTGGGACACGGTGGCCGGGTCCCCAGCGCTGGGCTCTCCCATCCCTGTCTGCTCATCCTCCACTCCCACCCCCCGTGGGGTGCCCAGGCCCCTCTGTCCTTGACCTTTTGGGAGTTTAGCAGAACAGTGAAGAATTGGAAACCAGCACATTTTGTTGACTCATTGCTTCGTCATTTCAGAGGAGGGAATCAGAGGCGCCGCCCCCCTTGAAAGACACCCTGGCAACAGGAACAGGAATAGGTGGCTTGAGCAGGGGATGTCCCCAGATCGCACTCCAGGTGAGGGCTCCCTGGAGGGTCAGCTTTTGCAGGGAGGGAGATGAAGCTGATTCCGAAGTAAAATATCCATGAGACCTCATGGTGCCGCAGAGCTGGGGGTGGTTGGGCTTCCCGAGGCCCCTTTCCTGGGCTTATTTGGATCAAGGGGCGCTCTCTCCAGGCAGGAGTGCTTACTGGTAGGTCTCCTGAGCAGCCCACGCCCCTTCTGACCCTCTCTCCGAGCACCATTTGGGTGCCTTCCTATTCACCTCCAGCTATAATCCTTTTCTTTCATGTACCCCGAATCTCCCAGGCACTTGTGATAAATTACACTAAGAGCAGATGTTTGTGTGGAGTGATCTTTAACTGGGGGCCCCAGGCTCTATTCTGCTGCAGACGTACTTTCTTGGGCCGATGCAATGTTTTCAAGATACTTTTTTTTTTAAGTTTATTAATTTATTTATTTGAGAGAGAGAGATTGAGTGGGGGGGAGGGTCAGAGAGAGAGAGAATCCGAAGCAGACGCCCTGCTGAGAATGGAGCCTGATGTGGGGCTGGATCCCACGACTGCAAGATCATGAGCTGAGCTGAAACCAAGTCAGAGGTTCAACCGACTGAGCCACCCAGGTCCCCCTTCAAGATACTTTAAAACTGGGAATTTTCACATGGAAATACAAATATCTTACTTCCCTTGGGAAATCAGAGGTTCTGACAACACCGAGCACTTAAGTCCATGTGGCCATAAAGCTGAGCTGAGCAAGGGGCTGCTCCCTTGAGCTGGGGATGAGGTGTCAAGGTCATTGGCATTCCCTGCCGGCCTTGCTCCATTCGCTTCTGTTATCACCTGCTGTGGGCATTGGTTTTCGACGTGTGATGAATATCTTTTGTTTTATTCTCTTGTATGTTTGCTATTACTTTAGTTATTATTTAATAAAAACTTAATTCTAAACTTTTTGCTCTGGGGGCATCTTGTAACCTGTGAAGGTAATCACGTTTCTCTTAAAGGAAAAAAAAAAAGGTGTTCTGGAGAAGATGTCCTCTTCTTGGTTTTTAATAAAGTGATGACAATATTTAGAGACTGTGGTTTACCCAGACAACTTTATTATAATAGGAAACATATTAAAATGTGAGCAGGGACGCCTGGGTGGCTCAGTTGGTTGGGCGTCTGCCTTCAGCTCGGGTCATGATCCCAGTGCCCTGGGATCGAGTCCCGCATCGGGCTCCTTGCTCAGCAGGGAGCCTGCTTCTCCCTCTGCCTGCCGCTCCCCCTGCTTGTACCCTTGCTAACTCTCTCGCCCACGCTCTCTCTCTAACAAATAAATAAAATCTAAAAAAAAAAAAAATGTGAGCAGAGGTTTCTTGGATTGATGGACACAAATGTATTTATTGGCAATTATAAGACAATTGCCTTTCAATTAAGTTTTGGGCACGTTTGGCGGGGGGAACAGGGAGTCTGGGTTAAGAAATCTGAGCTCAGTGTCTTGCTCTACTAGAATCTAACTGTTCAGTCTTCAAGGGGGCACTTCTGCCTCTAGATCTCGGTTTTCCCATCTATAAAATGCACCTATTGTTTTAGGTAAGTCTTTAACAAAGAATGTTCCTCCAAGCACACTCTTTCTCTGGGGTCAACTGATTTTGGGAAACCCTGGGATATGTAATACATAGTAAACAGTCTTCTTTATTGTGAGACTTCTTAGAAATTTTAATATGTTAATGTGCATTGCGAATTTTCAAGAAGAAAATGTAATATGCAACATTTTCCAATTTTTTTTGACAGTCGAGAAACTTTTTATTTAATTTTACAAAAAGCATCTCAAAAGGCATCTCTCGGAGGAGGGGGTCATCTTTGAGAAAACCCAGCAAGGCACTGGTTAAAGTCTTTTTCTGGCCTGACATCAAGTGTATAAGATGCACATAAATCCGAAAGGGGTCAAGAATGACACTCTTTATTTCTACTTGGCTTTGTGCATGAATCACTGAGAACCTCAACCCTCCTTAGAATTCAGCCTGTGTTCCTGACAATATATTTAAAAACCTTTTAGTGGTGTGATCCATGAGAAGGTGGTGTGTGTGTGTGTGTGTGTGTGTGTGTTAGTAAACACACTCTGCATTAGCAGAAGTGCCAAGGAGACTCCTGGTCTCTAGAGGAAGAAGTTTGAAAGACCCTCACACAGCCATTGGCCCCTGTTTTAGGTCGAGAAGGCCCCCTCCCCCGACCTGGTAATAGTTTTTTATCAGAAAGCTCAGGGACAGTTTATATCATCTATCTGCGCAGTGTTTGTGTGAATATGTCAGGCATGTGCCATACGCCAGTAGACAGTTTGCACCTGCTTCCAGCCCTGCCTGAAGCCCCTAGCTTTGACATCATCTCTTAAAGATGAGGCTTCCAGTCCCTGAAAAGCCCAGACTTCCCTTGAGTCCAACCCCTGCAGAATCCTTTCTCCCAGTTCCCTGGTCATTGGGGAAGCAGGTCCCAACTGTCTAATTTTCTAATTCCTGCCCTCAGGTTCAGGTTCCACTGTGGCCCAACCTCCCCTAACATTACAGAAGCTTCTAATTTTCTTCAATTAGGTTTTTCTTTCCAGGGAACATTGTCTTGCTCAGTTCCTTGTCCTGGAGTGACCGTGACCTTGTGTTGCAGGGGAGGAGAAGCTGCCTCAGGTGACACTGAAGAGCCCTGTGAGTTAAATTCTTCCACCCTGCCTTGTGTTCTAATGCAAATACCAGAACTGTTCTGCCTCAGAACTTTGCTCACTCTGTCCTGTCTGCCTGGAACAGCCTCAACCCTAATCTCCCTCTATTAAAATCATAGTCCTGCTTGGAGGTCTGGGTACCGTGACCACCTCCTTTATGAAGACTTTGCCATGCCCAGAGCTTTAAGGAACTTCTCCGTCCTTTCTATTCCCATATCATAGGTCAATCTTTGTGATAACCATTATCATCTTTTTCCTTGTTTTAGTTTCATCTCAGGTCTCACCACCGAGGCTCACTCGCCTTTCTATCCTTCCATTCTCCTAGCACATTCTTCCTGCGCTTAACAAGGAAATGGCTTTTAGCAAATTTATTCCATGCTGCTTTGAGTGCCCTCTTTCCAGAGGGCTTTGCTATATCCTGGATCATGTTTCTCTGACTTTGGTGTGTGTCTTAATCACCAGGGGAGCTTATTAGAAATATAGATAACACCAGATGGAAAGAAGAGCTGAGAGGAATAAAAAGCAATGCTATGAGGATGAGAAAAGAAAAGGCAATTAGGAACTCTAGGAAAAGCAAAAAGCTGTACAAGAAATTTAATGTAATGATAGCACCTCTTTGATTCCGTGATGAACAATATTATTTATTATTGGTTTATTGATTTATTAGGAAGATGGCAGAACAGGTGTGGGATGTAGTGGTATGAGAGATTTAGCCTTATCTATTATGGCAGGAACTCAGTAAATAACGTCTAACATGAAGACAGCGCATGGCTTTTGAAACACGGAAGCAAATACCAGAAGAAACAACTAAGCTAAAAGTGGTTTCCTTGAAGGGTGGGACTAGGTTATGAAGCTGGAGGGCAGCAGGGGACTGTTGGTTTTCCTTATAAGCGTTTCAAAATGATTTTTATCTCTTATCCATGTGTAAATATTACCTTGGTTAAACATATTTTTTAAAAAAGGACTGTAGATTTCTAGACCCCATCCAAGACCTACTGAATCAGAATCTCCAGGGCTGGGCACCTGGATTTGTATTAACTTCCTGGGCGACTATCATGCACAGCAAACATTTGATAGCCCGTGTGATGCTTACATGCAGCTCTGGAAAGTGAAGTAGGCAGTCCTCAGATGGGGACTTGGAAGGGGAGTGGAAGTCTCCAAGCAACTTGCCTATGGGTTTGGTGGCCATAGTTTCCAAACTGAAAATCTGAGACTGCCTTTGGTGCCCTCCAGAATGCGGGATCGTGAGCCTCCTGTGCCTGTTTGTGGGGGTAGAGAGAGCGGACTTATAGGAAGATGGCTGCACTCCCCAGAGGACAGGGGTAGGGACGTGCTTCTGGTAGGCTTAGCTCTAGGTACTGTGGCAGTGTATGCGCCACACTTAAAGCAAAGGCCATACGCACTGACTGGGACATGAAAAAGAATAAGACTAGGCACTGCCCTTCTGTGGCCCCCACTGGGACAGGATGGAGAGGGGTAAGCAGCATATCAGAGGGTTCCTACTTGGAGTCTTTTACTTAGACCTCAGGAATAAACCACTAATGTTACGAGGATGGGAAAAGGCAATTAGAAACTCCAGGGAAAGTAAAAAGCTGGTCAAGAAATTTAACATGTTAAGCCCAAGATCAAGAGAGAAATGGGGATGGGGGGGTCTCTCCTTTCCACCTTGAGGGGTGTGCTTTCCTAGCAGGAAGGGAAGAGCATCCTGGCCCCAAGCATGGGCTTGGGTTTGCAGCCAGGCTACCTGACACTGGGGAGTCCAGGTCCTCCTTCCTCTGTTCCTTAGGAGGTAAAAAAATAAATTTTTTTTCCTGATATATAAGAGCTCCAAATACCAACCCTTCCCCTCCCTCTTCTCTCTCGTCTCTCCCCTTCCCCCATTTCCCTCACCACCATTCTGCCAAACCCATAGAAGCTCAAAAGATCAGAGCTTCATAATAATATGGTGAGAAAGGGGTTGGGCTTACCAGCCATGTGACCTGAAACTCTGAGCCTCAGTTTCCTCATTTGTGAGCTGAGGAAACAATACTACTCTGCAGGGTTATTTCAAGGGTTTCCAGAGACAAAGGTCTAGCTTGTTAAGGAACCTTACTTCTGGTAGCTGCTCCACAGAGGGGGTTCCCTTCCCACCGATGATGATAAAAGTCAGTTTTCTAAGAGAACCTGCCATTCCAAGACCCCCTTAAAAGTGCAAAGGCGCAGTTTAGAGTCGGACGGGGCCACTTCACGTTCTCTAGGGATTGGGTGACAGTAGCAAATGGTAAAAGCGAGTGTTTATTAACACATTGCAGCAAGCACTGTTGCAAGACCATGAACACAGTCATTCAATCTTTATAATGACTCTGGGTCACGAGTACCGCTATCCTTCCTATTTTACAGCCGAGAAAACAGGCTCAGAGAGGTGAAGAAGCTTGCCCAAGGACACAGAGGCAGTCAGTGGCCGAGCTGGGACTCAGAGCCAGGTAGCGCGGCTCCAAAATTCCTGCACCTGTCACCCACCCCCGTCCCCTGCGGCCGTGCTCACCTGTGCTGCCGAGGCTCTCCTCACAGGACTGCCAGAGCCCCACGTGGAACCTGCACTGGATGAACTTGTCGTCCCCCATCTCCCAAATGTACTGGACAGCCCGGCTCCCGTTGTCCCTCCTGCCACCGCTGCCGTGGCCCCCACTGAAGTGAATGCAGTGCAGCCTGCCCGGCTGGTCCCGGCACAGAGGCTTTGCCACCCTCCGGGTCCCCTCGCACCAGTGGGTGCTGACCATGGCGGCAAGGGAGAAGGCCAGGGCGAGGCAGACGGGGAGGAGGGTCAGCACCTGCTGCCGCCCGGCCCTGTCCATGGCTGGAGGAGGTGTGTGGCGTCAGGATGAGCAGCGGGCCCCCTCCCTGCCTCCGGATGCTACCCGCCCCTCTCAGCCCTGCCATCTGGCACCCTTACAGGCTTCTCTCACGTCCCCCGGAGGGGGATCCTGGGTGCCCCCCAGTGTGTGGCATCTGTGGCCTGAGGAGCCACAGGAGAAAGCACAGAGTGGGGACAGGTTCCCATCAGCAGAGCCGGCCCTTCAGTCCTCCCCAGGGAGTGGGTGCTCAGGAGGAGGTTGGCTCTCTGGTTTTGTCTTTTTCAACCTGGGGTAAAATATGCAGAGGACGAAATTTACCCTGGTGACCATTTTTCACACTCACATTATTGTGCATCCCATCTCTAGACCTCTTCATCTCGTGACACCGGAGCTCTGCCCCCGTGAACACTGACTCCCCATCCCTACCTCCAGCCCGGGCACCTGCCACTCTATTTCCTGTCCCTATGAATGTGGCCGCAGCTGGGACCTCCCGTGAGTGGGGTCATGCAGTATTGTCTCTTTGCAACTGGCTTATTTCACTCAGCGTAATGCCCTCGAGGCTCACCCGTGTTGTAGCAGGTGTCAGAATTCCTTTCCTTTTTAATGCTCAGTAGCCTCTCATTGTGCGGACAGACCACATTTTGTGCATTCATTCCCCTGTCCGCAGAAACTCAGATTCCTTCCACCTTTTGGCTTTTGCGGAGGGCGCTGGTGCTTGACTGAAGACCAAGGGCGTTTGGGCAGGTGTCTGGGTGAGTCCGCCCCACCCTTGTCTTCCCCATTCATCAGGGTACTCAGTGTTGGGTGCCAGAAATGCGGAATCTCACAGCCCACACAGCCTGTTCCCTGCCCAGCCCTACAGAGACAGGGACCGCCAAGGACAACGTCCTGTTTTGGGGATTGAGAGACTCGAGGTGCGGGCATTCTGGCCCAGGACCGAAGTGCTGTGCAGAGCAGGGATGGGGTGGGCAGCACACACCCCGCAGGGTGCAGCATTCAGCACTGTCCTGGGGCCTCAAAAGCTGGCAGGCACAGCCCTTGGCGCCCTCACTCCTGCCCTCGCCGAGGGGGCCCTCCAGGAGTGGTGACACAGAGGAGACTACAGTAGTCGCTTCTCGGGCAGAGAACATTGATGCAGGACCGAGGGCAGGAAGAGTGTCACAGAAGATTCCACGTGGCATCGGAAACACACAGGTCCTAGACACTGCATATTAGCACTCCCTGACGACCCCCAGATACACCTGCGGACATAATGGAGAATCACTGCATGGTAGGAGAGGCAGGGTAGGAGAGAAGGGCGGTGCCCTGTGGGTCACTCTGACTCTCTACTTCCTGCTGGCGCAGGCAGGGGGACATGTCCTGCGAGCCCTGTATTTGCAGGCTTGACCACTGGTCTTGTGGGAAGAGGATTTATCACGTCTTATCACTAGATGGCATCTGTCCAACAGCGGGGAGGTCCTGGGTGGCCCTAATCCCTCTCCCTTCAGAAAAAGAACGTTTTTGAGAATAAGTTCAGAGAGATTTGCTAGAATATTCTTACCGGACAGTCATTTCCTTTGCCAGTGTGCAGCCTGGAAGACATAGTTGTTAACGTGTGGTTCCAGAATGGCTTTCCAGCCGTAAGGAAAGGATCGGAGCATCGTTGGGCGCTCTTCGGCCTGCTGTCCCAGAGAAGACCACATTGATTCCAGAGGTCCTACTATCGCTTCAGTCCATTTTCGGGGTCTTGGTTCACTATGAGCATTTGACCACTAAGGTTTAAAATCTTGCCACGTGGGGATCTTAAGATTTCCAAGGATTTCTAGGAAGCAAGGCTTACTTGTTTTTCCCTCACCGTTCAGAATTCATTCACTCAGATAAGTTAGCGAAGATGAGCTCCTCTGTCCGACTTGAATGGAGAGAAAAACAAAACTAACCTAAATGCCAACAGGGTCTTCTTGTCTCTTGCCCACCTGTGTCTCAGCTGGGCAGGACCTCATCCTCCCGAGTCTCTGGTCTGGAGGCTGGGAAGCTTGGACGTGGAGAGGTGGGGCCAGAAGGGCCGAGCAGAGGTTTTCAGAGACCCCGCGAGGGGCCCGCTAGAGAAAAGGAACATCCCTGGGGAGTTAAGGGAAGATCAGCACCTGACCAGGTAGCCGCGTCGGGTGATGCTGGGTCTCCCGGCCCTGCCGTTTACTGCTCTGTGGCCGTGGCCCAGCAACCTAACCTCTCTGCGCCTCATTCTCCCAGCTGTCGGGTGGAGAAATCCTCACACCCTCACCGGGCTGTTGCGAGGACTGATGAAGCAGGTGGTCGTCGGCTGAAAGATTCTGCGCATGCGTACGCGGTGAGCCGGCACAAAGGGGCTCGTTAGCAAGCGCTGGTGGTGCTTTGCGTGCAAGCCTGGGCGGGGTGGGGCGGGCGGCACGGGGCGGGGGGGCCATCAGGAGGTGTGTTTGACTTTCCCGCACGTCGTTTGGCTGTCCGGTAGACGGGACCTGAGTCCTGATTGGGGTTTTGCTTCAGGGCCTGGGTCAGAAGTTGCTTTCTCCCTCGAACTGTTTGCATAGACAGCCCCCCCGTCACACATACACCCACTGAGGAGACCCTGCCCTTGGGGCCTTCGTCAGAAACGTGCCCCCTCGCCAAGACGCCCACCGCACAACTGGCCCGAGGCCCATCCTTTTAGCCAGTTGTTGCTCAGCGACTGGAACCCCGAGGCTCCGGCCCGCAGACGTCGTGCACGGAGCAGGGCTTCTCGAGCAGAACCACCGGCCGCCTGGCTTCGCCTCCCGGGCGGCCTCTGCTGAGGAAGTCCCTGGGAGCACAGCTGACTTGGGGGAAGGTCTGGGAAAAATCTCCCTGCCTTTGGGGGGGCCGGGGCGGGGGATGAGCCACTGCTGATGAGAAACCCCGGATAATCATCGGTAGGTGGCTCTAGACGGGTTCAGACGCTCTCCGCGCGGCGTGGAGAGGGTTTGTGCAAACATTTCCCCGCTCGGTGCCGGGAGGAATGCAGGAGGAGGCTGCCTGTGGTACATCTTGGACTGTTCGAGAAACGTGCCTGCGCCTGTGAAGTTGCAGGGGGCGGGGGGGGAAAGGTGAGGCCAGCACCGGGTGGGGCAGCGCCCGGGAGAAGGAAAGGGGGAACCCCGCCCCGAGTGCGCGCGCTGCCCATGGACACCCCTGCTGCCCAGGGGGCCAGGCCTCCCCCTCGCTCCAAGAAGCGCTCCCCGCCAGCCCCTGCGAGGCCCGTGCTCGCCCTGCTGCTGCTGGTCTCCATCAAGCAAGTAAGAGCGGTTTATGATTTGGATTGTCATGGTGCTTGCCGTTAGGGTCAGTTCTGCATCTTTTCTGATCCTAGAAGCAGTTTCGGGCTCTTGCAGGCAATTTGGGAAATATAAAACAGTATCGAGGCAGTAATAATTAACCGTAAGCCTGATATTCAGAGGTCATCACTGTTAATAGTTTGGCATATTTCCTGCAAATCCTTTTTCTATGCCTGTTTCTGGGCAGCAGGAATTATGATGCATAAAGTGTTTTGTATGCCGGTTTTCCCCCTTTACACCATTTTATAAACATTTTCCAGTGTCATCGTGAACTCTGTAAATAGCATTTAAACTCGCCCCAAAAATGCTCCTATCCGGTTTTACAATTTTCTCAGGCCTGAGTATTTAAAGGTTGATGGACTGTGGGGTTTTTTTCTTCTTTCCTTTCTTCTTAGTATAAAAATATAGAATGTTCATTGTTTAAAAAAACAAACATATAAAATCCAAAGAGGTATAAATACCAACTGTAAATCACTGTATTTCCACCACCCAGAAATCACCCTCATTCGCCTTTGGGGGCTTATATTTCCAGACCCTTTTCCTGCTATTTATTTACATATAGGGCCTTTTCCCCCCCAACAAACATAAGATTAGACTGTAAATATTATCTCGCTCTCTGCTTATGTCTTAAGGAAATACACTAAGAGCTAACACAAACTAACCCTTCTATTGAACAGTGCTCTAGGGGCGGTGTCAGGTGTGTCCCTCGCATTAATTCATTTCATGCCCCTCAAGGGAGTCCCTCCTGTTAATCCCACTTACAGATGAAGATGCTTTTCTGTGTCGGCAAAGGTAGCCCCAGGGCGTGATGTTTGAGGGCTTCAAGGTTGTCTGATAATGTATGTGACCAACCTCTGCAGGTGGGCATTCTGGTACATTGTTTTGTTTTAAGATTTTATTTATTTGACAGAGAGAGAGCACGAGTAGGCAGAGTGGCAGGCCGAGGGAGAGGGAGAAGCAGGCTCTCCGCTGAGCAGGGAGCCCGATGCAGGGCTCAAACCCAAGGACCCTGAGATCCCAACCTGAGCTGAAGGCAGGTGCTTAACCAACGGAACCACCCAGGTGCCCCAGCTTGTTTTATTCTTGTCCAGGGAGACTAGACTTTTGCCCCTTTTCCCATTTGAGGTTCCATTTTCATATTGGACCATGACGTGAAAGAACCCCAGTCCCATTCATCTGAGAAAGGCAGGTAATGAAAGTTCTTTGAGGAAAGGTTCTCCTCCTCCTTTGGTCCATGGGTGGAGTTCATCCCTGTGTGTAGCTTTGGGATTCAAAATCCGTCCTGCCCCCACCTAGGGAGGGCCGTGGTGCCCGATCTTGTAAGTGTTCACCTCATCAGGCTTTCTTTGGTTCTAACCTGGAACCAGACAGGCAGAAAACACCTGCCAAATTCTCTGCGTCTGATCTCTCCCAGAGGCTGCCTTCAAGCCTTCACGGACTGAGGATGCGAGCCCGATCGATGGTTTCGTGGAATCCCTGTGGTAGTGGCAGCCTCTGGGAAGCCACTAGCTCGATATTGGCAGGGCCGTTGCTGGGAGAGTCCATACAGAACTCACGTTCTTGCTTCAATTCTCCGGACATCTCCTATTACAACTGCGTACACTCAGCTAGCTGTCCAGTCTCCTTCCCCTTGTACACATGATCGTGCGTTGCCCACTGGATGCCAAAGCATTGCTGCAGCACTTTGCATTC